TATATATATGGGTTTTTTTTTTTTAAGGAGAATAAACGACTTTGGAGCTAAATAAAATAATTATAATTACAATAATTAAATTAGGAGAATAAACAGTTTCTGGACAGACATTGGACCCATTTGTTTTGACAGAAATCCACAAGTGGTTTAAACAGATCATAAAAAGAGGTTTATCTTCAGTTGTAAAGATGTTTATGTGTAAAAGTGGTTTCCAGCTCGTGCAGGTCTCTGTAAGTGTGTCATGGACTCAGTGTGGTCTTCACACATAAACACATGAGCCAACACCTCCATTAAATCACAAGTGGAGCAAAATAAACCGCCTGTATGAGAGCTCCGTGTACGGTATGGGAGCCCATATAACAAACAACTGCCATTAAAACGGTATGTAGACCAGCGGCTCGGACCACGTCACTTCCCCATATATGCATTTCTGTCTGATGACATACATTTTATTTAGGAAAAATGTCAGAGCATCATTTTAGTGCTCCAAGGTTTCTCTTCCATACTCAGAAGGGTTCTCAGTTAATACTGTATTTCTCCTAAAATAGAGACAAATGAGTCATAGTTGACATAAAGTGACAATACAAAGGTATAGTTTGAATTTGGAAAAATTTGATGAGAAATATTTGAAATCTCTTTGGACACTTTAGAGCAGTGTTTATCAACCTCTTTGACTCCACGGCCCGCCTTTGTCAAAGATCATATTTGAAGGCTCCTCAAGATATTTCTGACTGGTACTTCTGCAGAAATCTTTTTTTTGCTAATCATTTTTAAAAATGTTTATTTTTTACATAAACCATTACAAAAAAACAATTATTTACATAAACTATTTTATGCAAATTAAACAATTATGATCATTTATGAATTTAATTCAATTACATTTAATTAATTATTTAATTAATTACACTTGCGTTTACAATGAATTTGAATTTATTTTCTATTTTTACTTTTTTTTTTTACTCAAGTAGCAATTTTTATTGACATAAGTAGTAAAATTTCTATTATAAAAATTTCCATCACTTTTCCAGGTCTTAAAAATGAATAAATAAATAAATACTTTTTTTTTAAAATCACTTTTAAAACTTAAACATTTTTAAATATATGGAGGTTTTCCAAGACCGAATGCTGATTTTTAAATAAAATACCAGTTGTTGAGGGAACTAATTAAAATAATAAAAATATAGCTTGTTGTGTCTTATTTTAAATCATCTTGAGACCTTTTAGTGGGTCCAGTCCCTGGTTGAGAAACATTGATCTAGAGTCTCCATTTGCTCTCAGTGAACCATAAATACCCATAAAGAACCTTTATTTTAAGGAGTGTGATTTTTCTTTCTTAAAGTGCCCCTATTATGCCATTTCAAATATTGCGTTTCATGCAGTCTGTAATGTAGCTGTATGTGAATGTAAACAATCTGCAAAGTTGTAAAGACGAAAGTGCACAATAATTAAAGTTATTGTCTCCCAAAAGAAAGAATCGACTCTGAACAGCCTAAACGAGTCGTCAGTAATTTGAATCCCACTTCCGTGACAGCTACACGTCACAGGGTAACACATTTGCATAATGCCCACCTATGTTCTATGTTGTCCGGCCGCAAACAACTTGACCCGCCCTCAAACACTGTAGCTTGTTCGTGTCGAGAAGACGCTGTGTCCTACGCCATGAAAGTAAATTTGTTTTATTTTCCCTTCCGAAAGACGAGGCTGCAAATAATCAGTGGTTAAAATTCATTTTTCTACTGTACCACAGCAGTACATCCCCAATTTTTTTTTTGCGTTCCCGTCATTTTACTGACCTCTAATCTCGGGGAGTTCACAAGTACTTGCTCTTGAAAGATGAATCAGTACCCAGTTTATTTGGACCAGCTGGCTCCACTGAATTACAATCTGTAAGTATGATAAATAATAGAGGTTTATATTTTCCATCGAGTGTTCAAAATACGGAACTATGGCAATGAGAGCGTATCGGACCATCTGACCAATCAGAGCAGAGAAGGCTCACGGAAAGAGAGACTGAATCGTTTGAGAATCGTTGGAAAAGGATGTGATATTACATGCATATTTTAAGAAAACGAAAGCGTTTTTTGACCTTGCATTCATATAAACCTATTGTAGGAGACTCCCCAAACAATATTGGGAACCTTAAAAATGGCATAATAGGGGCACTTTAAAGGATGAAACTAATTTCTGATTGCTAAAGATTTCCATGGCTGTGAATGTTTCATTTCAGGTGGGAATGTCTCTGGCTGGCAGTATGTAGGGTGTGAGCGTTGCGACGCTGTACGCGATGGCGCTCGGGGTTCCTGCAGCTTTGCTGCCCCTGTTTCCCTTGATGGCCATCGGAAGCTCTCTGAATCTCTTCTTCTGTACTCTCCGCAATGCAGAGCGGAAACTATCAGGCACAAAGCAGTAAACCACAGGATCCAGGCAGCTGTTCAGACTGCTGAGCGTGATGGTCACGTGATATGCCACCACATGCTGCTCTCTGCTGCCCCCTAGCTGGAAATACACCACGGCCTCGCGCACGTGATACGGCGTGAAGCACACGGTGAACACCAGCAGCACAGCAACGAGCAGCCGGACGGCACGCGCACGCCGACCCAAGCTCTGCGGCATGAGCCGACCATCCGTGAGCGCGCAGGCGACGCGGATCGTAAACGTTGCGATTACTAGCAGCGGCAGGACGAACTCCAGAACAGTGAGGGTGAAAAGCACGGCGGCACGACAGCAAGACGCTCTGTTAAACTCCAGCGCAGATGTCTGAAGGGAGTACGTGACTACGACGGCGAACAGCCAGACGCAAACGCTCACGCTTTTCGCAACCGTGGGGCTCCGCCAACGACTTCCCGCCGAACGCACCACCGCCATATAGCGATCCACGCAGATGCTCGTGAGAAACAAAATGCTGCAGTACATGTTGACGAAGTAGCTGAACGTGTGCATGTAGAAACAAGCCACGCAGTCACCGCCGCTGTGGTAGAGCGCAATGCGGGCCGGGAGCGACAGCGCCACCAGCAGGTCGGCCACCGCTAAGTTTATGGTGTAAATGGCCGGCGTGGTCCGAGAGCGGCTGCGCTGGCAGAACACGTACAGGGCCAGGCTGTTCAGGACCACGCCGACTACAAACATGAGCGTGTTCACCACCATCAGCGTGATCCACAGCACGTAGAACTCCTGGTACAGGGACTCGTACAGGTGCGCCAGCCTCTTCAGGTATGGCACCCCCAGCAGGTGGAGGCTGGTGTTGACGGGAGACTCAGATGTGATGTTTGAATATCCATCGAGGAAGGTCTCCATGGCTAGAACATAGAAAATAGATTTATAATAAAATAATTAATATAATAATTATAAAGAAATACATAATAATTTACAAAATGTATTTATGATATAAATATAAACACACACACATATATACACATACACACTACTCAAAACCATATTTTCATAAGCAAAATTACAGTAATAAAGATTATAGTTAATATAATAATTATGCACTTAAGTACAATAATTATAAATTATTTAAAATATAAATATAATAATTTATTAGGTTAGAATAATAAACAATACATATTATCGCACTTTGAAACTACATTTAAAGGGGTCATATGATGCGATTTCAATGTTTCTTTTCTCTTTGGAGTGTTACAAGCTCTTGGTGCATAAAGAAGATCTGTAAACTGAAATTATTTTCTCAAGTAGATTAAGTGAAGGCGTATGTTTCCGTAAATCTGCGACCAGGGTTAAGTGCACACTAGATCTCAGGATTAGATGAAGTATGGGGCGCATCAGGTGAGATTATAGATTTCTGACTGACCTTAGTTTAAGTTGTACTCAGTTACGTTAACCATGTATATGATTTCAGAGTTAATTAAGTTGTACGTAGTTATATTAACTATCGGGGTCTAGACAAGGGGTTCTAGAAAAACCGCTGATTAATGCTTGGAGTGTTAATTAAGTTGTACGTAGTTATACTAACTATCGGGGTCTAGACAAGGGGTTCTAGAAGAACCGCTGATTAATGTGAGCATTACATGGGTAACTGTAGGGGGCTAAACAGACCTACTATTTAAGGTATATTAAATAGTATTAGCCACAAACCTCTGAATAAGGTTTAAAGTATATTAAATAGTATTAGCCACAAACCTCTGGCTAAGGATCAAACTGGCGAATTTGTGATCGTGGGGCCCACGCATAGCGGCCGCCGTGAGGCATCCTAAATAACATAGAATCTTAATGAACGAGAAAATACAGAGTAAAGAGTTAACTAGAATTATCAAATGTCAGAATAATTAGAGACCGACAAACAACCAATTTGCCTTTCAACCTAAATTCGAGGTCATACTAAAATGGAGTCAGATTAGATAATAAAATGGAGTCAGATTTGAGTTAAACCTAAATTGAATAACTCTGCGCGCTGAAAAGACTGAACACGCAAGTAACCTTCATCCACCACTGGATACCTTCCTTGGGCCAAGTGCGTGGACCTTACATAAGCATATTACGGCTTACAAATAAAAATCATATAATTGGTAAATAATTTAATTATTTATCACAGTTGAAAGAAAACATTAAGCAAAATTTAATTAATCCTTAAAAAAACTAACTTTTTCAAAAAAAAAAACTCTGAGAATCTTTCCCTTTAAAAAAAAAAAAAAAAAAAAAATCAGTTATTCTCTACCTATTTGAAATTGCATATATAGTTAAACAGTTAAAGTCAACATGAAATCCAATTTGCAAACATTAGTGGTCGGAAACATTTTTTTTTTAATGTTTTTGAAAGAAGTCTCTTCTGCTCAGGCTGCATTTAATTGATCAGAAATACATTTAAAAAAATACTAATATTGAGAAATATTATTACAATTTAAAATAATTGTAATATATTTAAAAATATTTTGCTTATTATTATTGTTCCAATTTAGAGATTTCTTGCTGAATAAACTAATTTCTTTATAATAAAAAAACATTTGAACAGTGTATACATTAAGCTAAGTTTTGCAATTTGAACTGTGAAAAGCCCATTTGTAATTAGTTGCTGTCAGATATCTCACAGTGCTGAGCTTTCTCAGATGAAGTCCTGAGCGAGCCGGCCCATCAGCGGGCACTGCATGAAGCTTTCCATAGCTTTCTAAAAATGGAACATTCTTCTGTGTTTTGTGAGAGAGTTTGTGCTCCTGTTCGCTGATGTCTCTCTGCTCCAAGACTCTTTCTGAACGTCAGACCGCGTTTGAGAGCTTTAATGAAATATGTAAAATAATCTCAGATTCTCTTTCATCAGCTCAGACTTCAGTCGTTTAACTCCGTCTGATCTTTACATTCAAGGAGTTTGTTCATTTAATTCTGTCTTGTGTAACATCATGTTATGTTCAGTATTTCCCACATGGTTCAGTCAGCAGGGGGATCTGACTGTAATTTCCCATGGAAAATATAAAAGTAACATCCAATGGTTCGAGGTTAAACATTCAACTATAAATACATCTCAAACACAATGTGTATTTATAAGGAAATAAAGAAAAGGGTCTCACCGGTGCTGATCCAAGTGGATATCGGTTTCTTTCCGTAGTTTTTAAATCAAATGAAGCCTCATTGAAATCTCAACAATCTCCATCACTCATGCAGACAAAGAAAAGCCGCATCTCTAAATGCTGTAATGTCCATGTTTTTCCTCTTGCAGTCTGAAGTGTCTCTTTGCCTCTCAAGCATAAGTGGACGCTCTCTTTCCAGAAGTTGCTCTGATGTGACGTGAGTCTCGCTCAAGAATGACAGACTTTCATTCCTGCTGGTTTTCTCTCGTCGTTGACCCTCCCCTTCCCTCTCGTTCTCATCTTCTCAACAGTCCCTCCAAACTCTGGGCAGAAGCCCTGAAAAGTCACTTTGCAGAGCAATCTGTCTTGTGGGACGAGAGCCGTAAAGCTCACCCGGTAAACAGGCCTCTGGGACATCAGCCATAGCAAAACGCACATCCATAGTCCATATTTAGATAAATTCAGTTCTGAATGTCCTTTCCTCCTGAGTTTTTGTGGATTATATGAAACATCTCTATTTAAAAAATGACCACAAATGTGTATAGAGTAAAACACACACACACACACACGCATGTTGTGTTTCCATGTTTTATGGGGACATTCCAACAGTTTTTAAAAATATATATTATAAAGATTTACACTTTAAATGAGGACAGTTTTAATTATATATATATAATTAAAAATATATAATATATTATAAAAGTTTAAATTATGTTTTGCCTGAAAATTATTTTATTTTTAACTAATACAAATACTAATAATAAATGATATATTTGCATTGTGGCATTATTTTCATGACAATTAGGCCCTTTTTTTCTTTTTTAAAAATGAGAAATAGATGAAGCATACCTGAAAACATCTTTTTAAACAGGTTTATCCATTAAAAAGCAGTAAGTGATGGTGGACCACCCCTGAGAGCGTCGTCGTGACCCCCCTCTGCGTTACCTCACAGACACAAACATGAGCAAACACTGACCATCAAAGCCATCGGTGAACCAGCTGGAGCTCATAAGAGAAACGTTGCATTAGAGACGTCCTGCACCTCATCCTTCATCACAAACCACAACCCAGATCCAGCCATATTACAGTAAATCCTGCAGGATTCTCAGATCAGGATTTGTTATTTCTTAGCATAAACACTCTGCAACAAAAGCTACACATCTGAACTGACAGATCCGATACCAAAAACACAGACTCGAATGAGATCAAAGGGAAATGTTACATAATAACAAGAATGATGAAACAGCCTCAAAATATGAACTGTTGAATGGAAATGTGGGATTCATTTGGCAGAATAACACTACGGCAGGTGTGACAATGTAAATAATTCAAACAAAACAGCAACTTTAAATCAGTTTGGAAACTGAAAAAAAAGACTTATTTTATTGTATTGAAACACTACATAAACAGACCTGAAAAAAAAACAGCATGTAAAGCATCAATCAATCAATCAATCAATGTAAAACAAATATCTTTGAAAAGCACCTTTTTTAAAAAAAATTAAAATTGCAAGACAACACACACACACACACACACACACACGTAAATAATTAAATACAGCATAAATTTAATTCAGTAAAACAAACACTACCATGATGTATAATTATTTTAATACCTAAATATTTAATCTTAATTTATGAAATACTACTAAAAAAATTTTTTTCTCTCCAATTTTTCACATGCAGAGAATTGAAGTGTAAGTGAATGTGCTTATGAAAATAATGAAAATAATGTCACAATGCAAATTATAAACCTAAAAGAAAGTCAGATTTTTTTTCATGCAAATGTTCATTTTCTTCCACTTACAAACTTAAAAGTTTGATTTTAACTTGCTGAGCTAATTCTGCAAAACTAATAAACACGAAATACACTGTAAACAAATGTTAATTTTAATTAGATCAATTTATTTTTTATCAAACTTTTCAGGTTTAATGAATTGAGTATATTTTTTAAGCTCATAGACATTTGTAGAGCGCAGATTTTTACAAGGTGACACTTTAAACAGCAGATAAAGGCAAATCAGCATGCAGTCGTTCGTGAGGAAACAAATGTAATGCTGATGTGTCTTGTTTCGGACTAAACCCGTCGTGCAGGACCGCTGTCCAGATCTGATGGAGTCACTGTCTAAACATCCGTCAGCTTGACAAAACACAGAGACTGTAAATCACTTCAGTCCTTCAACAACTAATAAAACTCCGTTACAGCGAGCGACAGCGACAGATGTGTGAGATTATGAACACTGTAAAACAAGATAAAGTTACCGGGTGGTTTACCTGTTAAAAACATGGATTGCCTGGAAAAATGTTTTGGATTGAGACCATCGGCACTTACAAATAATGCAATGATAGTAGCTTGGCCCACCAGCCTAAGGTGGTTTAGCTGGTCTCCCACCCTAGACACTATCCACTTTATTTTTTAGCGTAGTGCTGCTGGACGCTTTCAAAGCACTGCTTCGTGAAGCTTCGAAACATTTGCGAATCATTTGTTTCGAACCAGTGGTTCGGAGCGCGTGTCAACCTGCCAAAGTCACGTGATTTCAGCAAACGAGGCTTCGTTACGTCACAAATGTTTCTATCTATCTATCTAAATAAATAAAGATCAGTGAACTCATGCATCACTCTCTTATTGTTATTACATATATACATATCTAAATGCGACCGTTTCTAACTTTTTTTATAGCATGTTATACAAAAATCTTTTATTTACTACCACAAAATAGAAATATCTAAGAATAAAATAGCTAAAAACAAATAAACTGTTACATCAAATACTCTCTCTCTGAAGCAAAGAGCTCATGACACACAAATAAGGCGAATCTGAGTTCAGATCGGGACTTCGGAGCGCGAAATCATGAACCGTTTGATTCAGATTGGGAATTCAGAGCGCGAATCATGAGCCGTTTGATTCAGATTGGGACTTCGGAGCGTGAATCATGAACCGTTTGATTCAGATCGGGAATTCAGAGCGCGAATCATGAACCGTTTGATTCAGATCGGGACTTCGGAGCACGAATCATGAACCGCTTGATTCAGATCGGGACTTCGGAGCGCGAATCAATAAATCGTTATATTCAGATCGAGACTTCGGAGCGTGAATCACAAATCGTTTGATTCAGATCGGGACTTCGGAGCGCGAATCAATAAATCGTTAGATTCAGATCGGGACTTCGGAGCGTGAATCACAAATCGTTAGATTCAGATCGGGACTTCGGAGCACGAATCATGAACCGTTTGATTCAGATCGGGACTTCGGAGCGCGAATCAATAAATCATTAGATTCAGATCGGGACTTCGGAGCGTGAATCACAAATCGTTTGATTCAGATCGAGACTTCTGGACTTTTTTTTTTCGGTGTCATTTTAGGTCATTTTCCAGTTATTTTACCTGTACAAAACAGTCCGTTATGCTGCTTAATATTGCAAACTGGTATTTGCCATAATATTATTTATACATGTATTTCGTAATCATAAACAGACTGGTTTGTAGCGCAAAGTTTGTGCTAACGGTTATTCATTTACTAGACTAAGTGCAGTAAGTTAAACGGTAAAAACTTTGCGCTAGGTACGCTGTAGAAAATAAGGTGACTATCTATTAATTAATAGAAAATATCAAAAAAATGTGTCATATAAATGAGTGTTAAGAAACAGCTCTTTGTTGCAAACACATACAGTCACAAAGATATGCCTGCAGTACAATATGCCTGCTTAAGTATGCAGGATATTACTCAATAAGAGTAAATTGTTTTGGAAGATTTTTTGTGTTTTTGGATTCTTTTGCTTTGGTTTTCTAATATTTAAACAGGAAGATTAATATAGAAAACTCAAGTGCTTTTATGGATGTAAAATTAGCAACACGAGAAGCTCAAAACAGGAAACATAAATGTCGTGTGTTTGGTCTGCATGTCTGATAAATGCGATCGACTCCATCACATGAAAGAGTGGATCTGCTGTTATTTTACTCGAACATATTTAATTTCAGGACGTTCCTAGAAAAACAAATCTTATTTTCAGAAAAACACTTTCCCTCCTAACGCGGGACGGATGAGTTACTGTCTCAGCATAAACACACGGCCAAAAATGAAAATCCATAAAAGTGAAAAACCGTCCCTCGTTACAGATGTTTATTCTTCCACTCATCACTCTGTCCAAAGTTAAACCTGACAGAGACTTCAGACACGTGAATGCATGAACTGTTTCAAACGAATAACCCATCAATCTCCAACTAAAAGTAGGAGTAAGGCACTTCCTGTGAGAGTGGAAATCATCATCATATATATCTGACTGTAGGCCTGGTTAATTTCGTCTCAGAGAGGGTATTTCGTAATCATAAACAGACTGGTTTGTAGCGCAAAGTTTGTGCTAACGGTTATTCATTTACTAGACTAAGTGCAGTAAGTTAAACGGTAAAAACTTTGCGCTAGGTACGCTTTAGAAAATAAGGTGACTATCTATTAATTAATAGAAAATATTTTAAAAAAAATTCATATAAACGAGTGTTAAGAAACAGCTCTTTGTTGCAAACACATACAGTCACAAAGATATGCCTGCAGTACAGTATGCCTGCTTAAGTATGCAGGATATTACTCAATAAGAGTAAATTGTTTTGGAAGATTTTTAGTGTTTTTGGATTCTTTTGCTTTGGTTTTCTAATATTTAAACAGGAAGATGAATATAGAAAACTCAAGTGCTTTTATGGATGTAAAATTAGCAACACGGAGAAGCTCAAAACAGGAAACATAAATGTCGTGTGTTTGGTCTGCATGTCTGATAAATGCGATCGACTCCATCACATGAAAGAGTGGATTTGCTGTTATTTTACTCGAACATATTTAATTTCAGGACGTTCCTAGAAAAACAAATCTTATTTTCAGAAAAACACTTTCCCTCCTAACGCGGGACGGATGAGTTACTGTCTCAGCATAAACACACGGCCAAAAATGAAAATCCATAAAAGTGAAAAACCGTCCCTCGTTACAGATGTTTATTCTTCCACTCATCACTCTGTCCAAAGTTAAACCTGACAGAGACTTCAGACACGTGAATGCATGAACTGTTTCAAACGAATAACCCATCAATCTCCAACTAAAAGTAGGAGTAAGGCACTTCCTGTGAGAGTGGAAATCATCATCATATATATCTGACTGTAGGCCTGGTTAATTTCGTCTCAGAGAGGAAGATGTGGACATCAACACAGTCTCACCTCAAACTTTTAATTATTACTAGACTATATTTTATTAACTTGTATTATCATACAGGATGCAAATAAGCAGTTTTTCAGTTGCTAATATGATTGACCATTTTGGAAATGGAAAAATCAATTTCTGGAACAGTTATTGAACCATTAGACAAATTATATTGGAATATATGTTTCGTATCTTATTTGATACATTAGGTTTTTATGGCCCTTCATAGTATGAAATAGTGTGAATATGGAAGAAAAACAGCTCAGATTTATTGCAGAGTCCCAAAATGAGCAAAAATGCCCAATTTGGTGCCAATGCTGACATTTATGTCAAAAAGTAAGATGAAATTCTGATAGCTTGTAATGTAAATTAATGAGATCTTTATAAAATGATATAAATATCAGTTGTCGCTCTATATCTCTTTGTCTAATAAGATGAGATTTAAATGCTTAGTTTTATGATCAAAACATAATGCAATGCAGTACAATGATGATAGAGAGATGAACAAATTAACGTTCCTCAAAAGCCTGATGATCATATTTGACTCATATTTGAACATGATTTTTCTAATAAATGATAATCAAGCAAACCTAAGTTGCTTCAGTCCTGTAAGTGTTCATCTTGAAATATTGCTAACAATATGAAAGTTATTCTTACGTTTACTTTTTAAAATGAGTAAAGATTTGACAGCAAAAAGACACGTGAACGAGCTGCAGGTGGACCGTTTGTACAATTAGACTAAAAAGCCTTTTGCTAAAAAGGTCTAAACTATCAATCAGAGACAGAAGGAGAGTAATAGATATGTTCAACAAGGTGTTGATCATGTTGATGATTTAGAGGCCTTAGAAATTCATGATCAAATATGATACAGTAGGTTAAATATCAGAATCAGAATCAGAAAGAGCTTTATTGCCAAGTATGTTTGCACATACAAGGAATTTGTTATAGTGTCACAAGCTTCCAGTACACGGAGACAACAACAACACACAGATAATAAAAATGAGATGTGAATAAAATACACATGCATAAATATAAACCACAAAAAAAGGCTGCCGTCTGCGGCGCCATCGCATTTATGATAAATATGTGAGAATATTAACTGTACGGTAGCCTTTACAACGTGATCCACATTGTTTTTATTTCTGTTTTCAGGGCAGTCAAAGTGCAGAACTAACAAACATGATTTAAGGTTGTCAACAACATAGTAGTACTAGTTAAAGGCAGTCAGGCAGCATCAGGCGCAGTTATGAAGTCAGTAATGAAGTATTTGGATTTGTTTTGGCAATATGAGCAAAAATGTGAGTTTCAAGCAATGAACAGCTCTGAGCATAATGTTATAATTGTGATCTTGAAATTAAATTATGGTGACTCTGACATGACATGAATGCAGCGTTAACAAAAACAAGTTGCGAGCCCTGAAAACACATTTGTATAATTTCCATAAAGGTACACAGTGATTATACAGCTATATGTAGCATGTACCTATATTTAGCATGTGTCATTTACATTTGTAAAAAACATGTCAAATAAATGAAAAAATTGTCAATAAAACAAAAACACAACATAATACTGTAAAACATCCTGGCAGTGCTTTCGTGTTTTTTCTCCAACCTTTTCAACTTCCTCCTTGAGAAGCGATTTGGTCGCTTCTTTTTGACAAGTGAACAGCTTGAAAAACAAAAGCAAGCATCGCAATTGGTTTCCTTATATGCCATCTTTCTAGCATCAGCCCATAAAACGCATTTATGATCATAATATCAAGTAGGAATACATCAAATCTAATAACGAGCATGTACATTACCATTCAAAAGTTTAGGGTCTGTAAGATTTTTTAAGGAAATTAATACTGTTATTCAGCAAGGATGCATTCAATTGATCTAAAGTGACAGTAAAGACATTTATAATGTTCCAAAGATTTCTATTTCAAATAAATGCTGTTCTTTTGAACTCTCTGTTCATCAAAGAATCCTGAAAAATAAAATGTATCAGTTTCCACAAAAATATTCGGCAGCACAACTCTTTTCAACACTGATGATAATAAGAAATGTTTGTTGAGCAGCAAAATTATCAGTTGACACTGAAGACTGTAGTAACGATGTTGAAAAACCAGCTTTGCATCACAGGAATAAATTACATTTTACAATATATTCACATAGAAAACAGTTATTTTAAATTTTAATAATATTTCACAATATTACTGTTTTTGCAGTATTCTTTTTGATCAAAGGTATGTAGTCTTGGTGAGCAGAAGTGACTTCTTTCAAAAACACACAAAAAAAATCTTACTGACCCCAAACTTTGGACCCCTAGTGTAAATGACATCTTCATTAAAGGGGTCATATGATGTTGCTAAAAAGAACAGTATTTGGTGTATTTGGTGTAATGCAATGTGTTTATGCTAGTGAGGAGTGTATATCAGCTAAAGGCACATGCTGTGATAAGCTAAAGCTAACGGTGGTAAACAGGAAGTTGAAGTGATGTGGGCTCGGCTCAGGTGGTTGGACTGATGTTAGTAGGCAGTGCAAATTCATCTGTCATGGTGAAACGGTCGGTCATTCATTCGTCTCTCTCCGGCGGTGATCTGTCCCTCTGTCTGCGCTGGGCTAAAAACTGCTGGACCACAGATGACCAATCCACAACGTTCTCCACGCGCTCCTGTCCTCCAGACATGGACGTCGCAATCTGACCGCCTGCACAGTAACACAACGCGATTGCTTGAGATTGACACATGACAAATCCTATTATTTCTTGCGTTTGCTTAAAATAAAATGTAATTACTGTACACAGGAATTACTGCTGTAGAAATAAAATTATGAAATTGTTTTTTCCAAGTATGTAATTATAAATATATAATATTGATAAATATTAATTACACATTAAATTATGAATTGATGAATTACAATATGAATATCTAATATAATATAATATAATAATATCTATGTATTTATTTATTTATTTATTCATTCAATAAAGCAAAGGCTATTTTCATGGCAAACTCATAGTGGTAGAAATTAAAATAATCATACAATCAACAATAAAACTTAAATAAATAAAATATAATGGAATAATTGAACAATATTTTTCTTACAACAGTATAAAAAACAATATAACACATAAAAAATATAAAATATCAAATAAAAAAATATAGGAATTTATTAAAAAAATATAGCAATTATATACACTTATTTATAAAATTATATATATAATTATATACAAAAAAACATTTTTAACTCAGAAATTGCTAGTAAATTTCACAATTAATTACAAAGAAACAGCAAGTAACACACTGAATTAAACATGGAAATTTGGAAGTAGAAAGACTGAAATAGTATTTTCTTGTAAAATGTACTTCAATAACCTTTATTTACAACTTTGAAAAATCATTTTTACAGTGTTTCATATAATATAATAATTTATTTATTATGAATTTATTTTAATGCAGCAAAGGCTATTTTCATGGTACACTCAGAGTAGTAGAAATCAAAATAATCTTAATAGCAATAAAACTTTGATAAATAAATAAAATGGAATAATTTAACAATATTTTTCTTAAAACAATATAAAAAATACAACAATTATATAGTTTTTTTCTGTTTGATATTTTATAGAAAAACTAACATTTTTATAGAAAATCTCAAATCTAAAATTGAAGATTTTAGATTTTAAAATCTAAAGTTAGTTTAAAGTTGACCACATAAATGAATCTCCTACCAAAGAAGAGGAGCAGTGAAATTGTGTACTTGCCCTCCGGGAGGATCTGTGTCCTCTTGTTTCCTCTGACCAAGCTGACAGACGCTTGAGCCAGCAGCTCTAGAGAACGCGAGTCTGTCAAACCTTCAGTGTCTTCATCCTCATTCTTCACATTATGACACTCCACAGAGCAGATCTTCCCTGAACACAACGGAGGACACAGGCATGGGAAAGTCACTCAACACTGCACATACACACATAATATGGCAATAGAGTCAGGAACACACTCTATAGAAAGCTCGGCGGAGAGTTTGAAGATGTACAGGAAGTGTAAGATGCAGCAAATGCCTAGTGTGCTGCAGCTAAAGTTAAACTTTTGTTTGCAGCATTAAGCATCACTTTTGTCAAACCTCGCATTTTAAGATGGCACCATTATAAACTAATATGATAAAAACACTGTTCAATAAATAAGTCAATTTATTATTATCGATAATCACAATAAACAATTCTTTGACAAGGTACTATAACAAACTGCATAATTGAATTCTCTTATTTTTAACTTTAGAAGACAGTAATTTTAAGTTGCACACTATGCATTAGAAATATATGAAAGTTTGTCTCCACCACAGGATGAAAATATGGGATATCTCACAATTCTTAAGGGAAAAATTCAGAAATGTGAAACAAACTCAGAATTGTGAGATATACTGTAAAACCGCAATTGCGAGAAATAAAGTCAGAATGACCTTTTTTCATTTTTTATTCCATGGCAGAAAAAAAACAGAATTGTGAGATGTAAACTCAGAATTCCAAGAGAAAAGTCAAAATTGTGAGATGTAAACTTAGAATTCTGAGAAAAAGTTGAAATTGTAAGATGTAAATATAGAATTCTGAGGAAAAAAAAACATTAGAATTGTGAGATGTAAACTCAAAATTCTGAGGGAAAAAGTCAGAATTGTGAAATGTAAACTTAGAATTCTGACAAAAAGTTGAAATTGTGAGATGTAAATATAGAATTATGAGGAACAAAGTCAAAATTGTGAGATGTAAACTTAGAATTCCGAGAAAAACGTCAAAATTGCAAGATGCTAATTTTGAATTCTGAGAAAAAGAAAACATTAGAATTGTGAAATGTAAACTCAAAATTCTGAGGAAAAAAGTCAGAATTGTGAGATGTAAACTCACAGTTACAAGTTTATAGCTTGCAAATGCAAGATATAAACTCACATTTGCAAGGAAAAAAGATTTGCGACTTTATTTTTTATTCTTTGCCGAACACAAGCTTCCCCAGTAACATGCAAATGAACTCTAATGAAAAGCAACTCCTACCTGCACGTTTGCAGAGAACCGTGATGGAGTAGAACAGGTTGGTGAACAGGTTGAACGGAGACGGAATTCCAGACTTGCGGCTCATATCGCGGATCAGAACGGCGCGGCCAAACTTCCACTCCGTGTCGGACTGAGCCTGGATGCGCTGGTACGTGTCGCTCATCATGGCGATGAGGAGGTTGATCAACACGATGGACGTCACCACCAGATACACACCAAATACCATTTTAGCCAAAACGGCCGTGGTGGCAGGCGAATGCTCCATGTCGGGAATTTTATCCGGTTCGGTTAAACCAAATAAAGCGAAGAAGAGCAGCACAGACATGTTTAAAGGACCCGGAATGGTCACTTGCGTGGCGTTTCCGGTGCTGTTGTCCCAATCTTGGGGATACAGCGGCTGACACAAAGCGGTGAGACTCAGCGTGAAGGCAGTGTGGAACAACATGAGGATCACAGCGAACCGACACAGATCCTTCATCAAGTCTCGGATGATTATGGCCCACGGGCCGAATAAGTGATGGAACGTGAGGAACTCCAGCAGCTGGATGAATCCCAGTGTCATCGCCACGGCCAGCAGGATGTTCCGGGCGAACAGGCAGTGCAGGTGCGCTGGTAGCCACCATTGGGTGAAAACCGCCAGCAGGTGGCACAGCAGAGCCGCGGCGGAAAAACCCAGGAGAAGAAGACGAATCCACGCTAAACCAGCACGCTCACCTGGGAAGGTCAGCTCGGATACCAGCATCCCACAGAGCCAGATCAGCAACAGACACTCCGACCAGCCGGGCACCAGACGGCCCTCAGACAGAGGACTCCTGGGCGGATACACAATCGTCAGGATGAACAGGGCCAACAGGAAGACGTGTGACACCAGGTGACTCATGAACTTCACGATTGGGATAGTGTTGAAGCTGAGTGGAGATTAAAACAATCAGTTACACACATTTCTCCTCAACCGAGACGCACTGGCAGTAAAAATTTTGCATACATGTGACTGAATTTATGTTTCTTAAAAACCTTTTGATCTAAAGGCCAGTGTTGCTGTTGTTTACTTAAAGGGATAGTTCACCCAAAAATGAAAATGTGATGTTTATCTGCTTACCCCCAGGGCATCCAAGATGTACAGACTAATAAGTGCATTACCGCCACCTGTCTCTCAAATGGACCATTGACCTTCCTAATTGAGATTGTAGATAGAGTGTCAATGGTCCATTTGAGAGACAGATTAAAACTATTAGAATTGTTTTCGTTAATTGAAATAAAGATATAATAAAATAAAATGCAAATATTAGATTAAAAACAAACTTAAAATAAAATTAGAAGTGTTGCCTTGGAAACTAACTGAGAAAAAAAACTAAAATTTAAATAAAAAAAAATTTAAGCTGAATAGAAAGATGAAAAAAAAAATGACAAAAGCAGATAACAAATTAAACCTGACAATATTAAACAAAAGCTAATATATTAAAATATTAATAAATACTATAATAGTTTATAAATTAGACAAATTGATATAAAAGCCAGTGCTGTTATTGTTAACTAAATTTTTTTAAATGGTTTTCATTCATTGAAATAAGGATAAAATAAAATATAAATACTAGATTAAAAATTAGAAATGTCACCTTGGCAACTAAAATTACTGAAATTAAATCTGAAATAAAAAGAATAATTTTTAAGCTAAATGGAAATATAAAAAACTAAAAGGAATAAAAAGGACAAAAGCACATTAAGAAATTATTTATACTAAAATTAAAATTAAAACAAATGAAATTAAAATGTAAAATGAAAATGTAGTAAATACTATAAGAGTACACAAATAATACTAAAATAACACTTTTCAAGGCTTTGCGGTATGATTTTATGTTTTTTGAAAGAAATAAATACTTTTAATAAAAAGGACACATTTAAACTGATCAAAAGTGACAGTAAAGACATTTATAATGTTACAAAATATTTATATTTTAACTAAATGCTGTTCTTTTGAACTTTCTATTAATCAAAGAAATGTTTCTTGAGCAGCAAATCAGCATATTACAATGATTTCTGAAGGATCATGTGACACTGAAGACTGGAGTAATGATGCTGAAAATTGTACTAATCTTTCACAATATTACTGTCTTTCCTGTATTTTTGATCAAATAAATGCAGCCTTGGTGAGAAGTTTACTGTGTCAGACCGTACCTGTGTCTGTGTGGCAGTGAGAGCGCCAGCCACAGCGGAGGGAAGAGCAGCAAACAGAAGAACAGCAGCAGGATCTTCCATGAATCCCACTGCAGGCTTCCGTGCCACACGTCCGTCAGGTACGTCTGCACCGCTGGATGGGACACCACACCCTTCTGCCGGCCCTCGATCAGGCAGTCCAACACGCTGGCGCCCCGGTGGTCCACAGCCGTGAGGATCGGACCCGCGCCATGACCCCCGGCTGAGGCAGCGAGGGTCAGGAGGTCAGAGGCCATGAGCTCACAGTAACACGCGGCGGCGAGCAGGTCGACAGAGCGCTCCTTCTCTCTGAGCGCGGCCAGAGTCAGAGCTCGCGACAGACGGACGCACGTGTCCAGAGGAGCAGGAGAATGAAGAACCAACTCCTCCAGAGCCAGATTATCATTCATCCGGCCGCACACCATCAGATTGAACACAAACTACAGACAACACACAAAACAAAACATGCTAAAGGATGCAATTTGAATTGGTTTATTTTAAGCAGAACAAGGCACTTAAAGGGATAGTTCACCCAAAAATGAAAATCACCCCATGATTTACTCACCCTCAAGCCATCCTAAGTGTATATGACTTTCTTCTTGCAGACAAATACAGTAAACAGTGAGAGATGCTGAGACAGGTGAAAAGCGTTTGGTTAATAGTGAATATTGACCTATTGTGCGTACCGTTGTGGCTCCTGCTGTTAGCAGGGGATAATCGCTACATTTGGGGTAAAAAAGACATAATTATGTATTGTGCCAAGAAGGTTGCACTGTCTCTGGAGACTTGTATTATGGAAAGCACCATGAACCGGAAGTCAGCCACTGTCTGTATCTGGTCTGTTACCTTCAGCCGCTGCTGAATCCACGTGAATACAAGTGCGTAATTGAGTTTAATTTCTTTTTAGTTATAATTCTGTGTGAAATGTATTTAAGTTAATGAAGTGGATAGATGGCAATTCGTGCATGAAAATATTCATTTCATGATTAAATGGAGCTTGATAGTGTGATTTTATCTTTCAAGGTTATTCTTTGCTTGAAAGCATATTGTCTGAACAAATTTAAAACATTAAACAATTTTAGTAAACTGTATTTTAATATATACTTAATTTTATTATTTTTTAAAGATATGTGGGTAGTTGACATTTCAAACAGTGACAACTGAGCCAATATGACATGCTATTATATTGTCATATCTATTATATCTAAGCCTATTTAAGTATTTTATATACATAAAATGTTATGTATATAAAATGTTTAACTATATATATATATATATAAGTTTAAAATAGGGTTGGTTAGATATGATAATTTTATTTATTTAATGTTTATTCTGTTGTCTTAGCATAATTTCTTTTTTTATATAACTATTAATGCGCTTAAATCTATACATCTATAATGTTAATACATTAAAATTCTCATTTTTGATCAATTCTTCATGTTGCAACACAACATTTAGAGATTTGTTGAAGTTTTGGGTTCAATTTTAGTCTACTTGATAGTATTTGGTTGTTACAGAGGATTTGAATCACTCCACTGCACATTTGATGTTTATATTTTCATATCTAATATTCTGCTTTATGATAGATGTGATAGATATTATATGATAGCATGTCAGATTGGCTTTTGTATATATATATATATATATATTTAATAGAAATAGAAATATATGTTGGTTAATGTATGTGTGTGTGTGTTTTCACTTCACTCAAATGTTATTCTGAAACAAATGTAGAAAAAACATGAGAAAAAAATGTGTAATAGAAACATAATCATGATGTTTTACTGTGATATGGGTCATGAAATTGAACTACTACTTTTTTCATTATTTTTTACAGTGAAGATCTGATGTGGCCTCAGTCTTCCCAGCACAGGTTGGTCACAATGTCTCTGAGATGCTGTCAGAAGATGTTACTGAGACTCTATTATGATGAATTCAAACATAAATCTAATATTTTTTCCATAACTGAAGTCTCTTTTTCAATAAAAAGCACCTGCAGTGCATCCCACCTCGTCGAGCTGGAAGATCTCCGGATCTCCCTTCTCCAGCATCTTGAGTTTCTGTTCCAGTGCCATCCATTCTCCCCTGAGGGCCAGAGGCATCAGGCGCTGAGTGGTCCCAGACACACAGGAGCTCTCTGACATCATACAAGACCACAAAATAACCTCACAGGAATCAAACCACACGGTCTGTCAACACCATGACAAAAGCACGTTCATTTACAAGACAAAACCCAGACGGATCTGCAGCAGGTGCGGATCTAGCGGCACATTTCTCCGACTGTCCGCGGCGGGTTAAAGTTTGCAAACTCCGCCTTCAGTTCCTCCTGTTACCCTGGATTCAATAAAAAACAAACAAACAAACAAAACATTGAAACAATCCCACAGAAAAGAGACGGAATAGTAAGAGCTCATACTTCTGAAAACAGCGATTCAGCTGTAACGTTTCTTTCAGTCCTCGTTACTGCTGTTGTTGTCATTTAACGTTACCTCAAAATCAACGCCAACTTTTTTTATGCTAAAATATAATGCGTTAATCTCTATTTTAGGGTAAAATCAGGTCCATCTGTATGGAACGGTGTTTTCGTTTGAGCACATCAAGTTTGTTTGGTGTAGCATGGTAAATTAGACATTTTTTAAAAGTGTATTCTGACATGTAGCATAGGCTATATATATATATATAGGCCTAGGTATAGCCTATATAAACGTACCACTGTGTCTTCTGTCTCAGTTGCACCGATCGACCGTTGAAATTTTAAAAAAATTACCCAAAATATAGAAATAACCCAATAAACGTTCAGAATAACCCAAAAAGCAATCCAATATGTTTAACCCAGATATTGTGTAGTAAACAACCCAACGTTTTTTAGAGTGTATGAAAATAAGACCTATAACTTAATTAATTTGTATTTCCTGCTAGCTACATTTCACATACATAAACAAAAGATTCACAAACCCGCTCCGAAGTTCCGATCTGAATCAAATGATTCGCGAACCGGCTCCGAAGTTCAGCTATCAATCAAATGATCCGCGATATGCGCTCCGAAGCTCCGATCTGAATCAAAAGATTCACGAACCCGCTGAATCAAATTGTTCATGATACGAGCTCCGAAGTTCCGATCTAAATTAAATGAGTCTTGATACTTGCTCCGGATCCTGATCTAAATCTAATGATTTGCCATACGCGCTTTGAAGTCCCGATCTGAATTAAATGATTCGCGATATGCGATCCGATTGGAGCGCTTCGAAACAGTGAATCATTTTGCGA